TCCGGCCGGCCGGCCGAACCGGACGGACCGGTTCCGACCGGCCGTCGTTTCCGGACGGCTTTCTTGCCGTCCGGCCGGCCGGTCCGGACAGCAACGGTCCGTCCGGCCGTGCTTTCCGGCCGGTATTACTTGTCGTCCGGCCGGCCGGTCCGGACGGCTTTTAGTCCGTCCGGTTCCGGCGTCCGGACGGCTTTTAGCCCGTCCGGAACCGGCGACCGTACACGTATTTTTTCGTACCTCCGAATTTGACGACATTTCACCGTACACTTTCCTCTGAGATGTTTAGAAAAAATGAGAAGGGCAAAATTGTCCAAGGGGGGCGGTGACTAGTAAAATGGGGGGCGGTGAATAACAACACCCTAATTATAAAGTAGAGGGCGTAATTTTCTCAAAATTATAATTGAGTACATGGGTACTGAGAGTGAAAAACGGGTACCAAATTAGAATTTTTCCCAATTTACTTCAAATTCATTCAGGGTTAAAGCCAAAGGTGATGTACAATCATAGCGCGTTCAAAAGAAAACAAGCAGTGTGAGTTAAAAACGTGGAGATTGCACGATAATTGGAGAAACCATCACAGTAGAAGAATAGACCTCTCTTCTTCATTTCCGTTCTCCCCGAGTGCGTATAGCCTGGATACAAAGCATTGGAAATTTTGATAAACAGTACTAAACCTAGAAATGACGGAGGCTGTAATAAGGAAGAAGGCCGGGATGGCGAGCGTGAAGGATATGCCGGTTTTGCAGGACGGTCCGCCGCCGGGCGGGTTCGCTCCAGTCCGATTCGCTCGGCGGATCCCCAACACGGGACCGAGTGCCATGGCCATTTTCTTTGCCGCTTTTGGGGCCTTCTCATGGGGGATGTACCAGGTCGGCAAAGGCAACAAGATCCGCAGGTCTCTTCTGTATTCTTTATCTTTTATGATTATTTTCTTCCAAATATCCAGCTGTGGAGGCAGATTTTTAACAATTCTCACTAGTAGAGGATGATCAAATTGATGATTAGTTTGTCCCAATTTCTGAGGAAAAGGGATTATTATTGTTTCCCTTTTCTATTTTTCACTTCATTGTTTTTTTTAATCAATAGAGCAAATACAGTAACCACCACATCTATGGGTTGAGATGATGAGGTCTTTAGTCCTTTAACTATTTTGTATTGTCGTTTAGGTTTCTTCCACTTGATTTTAGCTAGTGTTAGTATTAGCTATGTGTCTGATTCTGTAAGGACATAAGCGAATAGTGTGTATATGAGAATAGAGGTGCCTGAGTGTAGGATACATTATCGATGGGGCTTGTGTTATTTTGGAATGATGATTAGTCCTTGATTGGACTTTTAAAAATGTCTAATTCTTCGCGGCTTCATATGATGCTTAGTTAAGTATTGTGGAATTGCATGGAACCCATGAGACTAGCCATCTTTTCATGGCCATTTCACAACATAATGTATTTCAGTTTTGTGTGAGGATTTTGGATTCTGATAAAGTGCCACATATGTATGCAATAATCGAGCTCTGTCATATGTTTCATATGATAGGGAACTGGTGGTGAAATGATTTCAAATCTTACCAAAGGAAAATAGATTGCTACTCTTGCCCTGTGATTCTGTAGATTAAAAAGTATGCCTGTTTTTGAGTCCAGCTCAACATGAGCTTCCAACAATGAATCCCCATTTAGAATGGCACCTCATTATGACACGAAGTTTAGGGAGGGGAGGATTTGAAAAGCTTTATCTACGTGCAGTCTTTATGCACTAGATTTTAGGTCATACTTGATCAATGTATGTGGGCGCCTGAGGCGAATGGTTGTCTCACTTGTCCAAAATCTTCTGAGAGGTTTACAATATATACTACAAGAACAACAACAACAACAACATAGCCTTTTAGTCTCAAGCAAATTGGGGTAGGCTAGAGATGAAACCCAAGAGAACCAATGGTAAGAGAAACACAAAAAGGGTTCGAAACAAAAGGAAGAGATTGGAGCAAAAGAGAAAGGAGCAAAAGTCACGGTTCTGGCACGTTGATTGCTAGCCTCCAAGTGCTCCTATCCACCGCTAAATCCTTAAAGATATTCCAATCTTTGAGGTCTCTCTTAACCAACTCTTCCCAAGTGAGTTTAGGCCGACCTCTACCTCTCTTTACATCCTCGACCCGCTGAATAACTCCCCTACGCACCGGTGCATCAGGAGGCCTCCGTTGGACAAATCGCCGTCCTATAGAACTTACCTTTTAGCCTTTGTGGCACCCTCTTATCACAGAGAACGCCCGAAGCTTGACGCCATTTCAACCAACCGGCTGCAATTCTATGCCTAACATCAACATCAATGCCGCCATCCTTTGTAGCATCGATCCTAAATACCGGAAAGTCTCCTTCTTGGCCACCACTTGCCCGTCAAGGCTAACGTCACCATCATCATTTTTAGTGGAATTAAAATTCACTCTGAAGCCAGCAACTCAAAGCTTTGGAAAGATGGCTGCAATATATGTTACAAAAACGATGCCTATGATCTTTCAATTTCTTTTCTTTTCCATTTCCCTATGATGACGTTGGCTTTCTATGATGTTGAATTCGACAGTGTGCGTTAGTTGGGTCTATTGAATCTTAGGGTAAAGTAATAGCTCATCAAAAAGGAAGAAAAGCTTTGGTCTTCTATATATGTTTTTCACCTTTCAATATTCAATTTACTTATCTATGTAAGGTAGTTCCCGGGAATTCTTCTCGATATTGGCAAGTTGAAAATGGGGACTGGAATTACCTGAACAAGTCATCTGAAGTTGATTAGTTTTTCTGGTCGCTCATTATGAAATTTCTTCTCTTCTAATCCTGGATTCTTTTACCCGTGTAGAACTATTATGTCACAAATATGTTTGATTTCTGTGAACATGGATCACAATTTGATTAGTTTTGTTATTATGGATAGGGCACTGAAGGAAGAAAAATATTCTGCTCGGAGGGCCATATTGCCTATGCTTCAAGCTGAAGAGGACGAAAGGTGACTTTTTATAGCTAGTGTATACCTGTCTTAAACTGTTTCCCAGTTTTTATTTAGGCTCAGATTCACAATAACCCTCATATTCACCTTTTATTTTTCTATGAATGATGGAATTAACCTATATTTGTCAGGAAACAACAAACCTTATGGAGGATTTCATATTTTGAAGTCAACTATACTTTTCTGCACTTACATCTTCTTTCTGTCCTATCTTTTTAATGTCAGATTTGTGAAAGAATGGAAGAAGTATCTGGAAGAGGAGGCAAGAATCATGAAAAACGTGCCCGGTTGGAAGGTTGGGGAGAGTGTTTACCACTCGGGAAGATGGATGCCTCCTGCTACTGGGGAGCTTCGTCCTGACATCTGGTGAATTATGCTGCCGTCATTTTTAATAACCGTTTTGCTCCATGGACTCACTGCAAAAGACCCTTTTTTTTATTTATTTTCCGGCAGTCATCGCAACTTTCTTCGCGACTTGTGCTTGTTTCTTTGCTCAGTTGAATAATGATGATGTTAAGAATCTGTTTGCCTTTTCATCTGTAAACGGATGTATGCTAGCTGTTGTTACACATTTCTGTTGACATTGTTACTTGTGTGTTCTTGCCGTTGGTATTGTTCACCCTGAGGGCTTCGGTTTTAATCTTTTGTTGCTCTTAGTATTTTTATAATAATAGTAATAGTGTAATAATAGATGCAGATGGATAGTGGTGATTTTGCATTTCGTATTATTGATTATTTATTCATTGGCTTTTGTAGAACTACATCAATTAAATAATGCCATGATACCACAAATCCAAAAAAAAATTTCCATTGTTATTTTAACCCCTACTAACTCAATTAACTAAATAGAGTATCTTGTATAAAATCAAGGACATAATGAGTCAAGGCCACATGTCTTCATCTAGATTTTGTCATCACGGTTAATATAAATGTTATCTTCCTTCACTGGTCCAGTCAAACGGGCTCAAGAAAAATAAGAACTTGTTCCAGTCGAACGGACTCACTCAATGTTCGGATGAGTTACTGCATGTACAGAAAAAGTGACAGAAACGTGGTGGTGTTTTTTGTATTGTACGTAGACGGCATCCTTCTCATTGGAAACAATGTAAATGTATTGTCAGACGTAAATGTATGGTTGTCCGAACAATTTGATATGAAGGATTTGGGAGAAGCAAGACATATTCTCAGACTCAAGGTGATTCAACAATGAGAAAAAAGAATGTTGTGCTTATCCCAATCTTCGTGCATAGATATTGTCTTGGATCATTTTAGCATGCAACTCTCCATGAGGGGGTTATTACTTTTTCGTCATGGAATTTCACTATCCAAGGAGATGTCTCTCAAGACGTCTCAAGGGATAGAGGACATGAGAGACATTCCTTATGCATCGGCAGTGGGAAGTCTCATGTATATTATGCTATGTAAGAGGCCAGATATCTGTTATAAGTTAGGCATGGTGAGCAAGTACCAAAGTAACTGGGGATAGGGTTATTGGACTGCAGTGAAACAAGTACTCAGGTACCTGAAGAGGACCAAGTATTAATGCTTGTCAATCGATCAGAACAATTGATCCATGTGGGTTACACCAATTCCGACTTCCACTCAGACCGGGACGAAAGTAAATCTACCACAGGGTTTGTGTTTACTCTTGGAGGTGGAGCCATAGTACGCCAGAATGTCAAGAAAAAATGCGTGGCGGACTCAACCGTGGAAGTCAAGTACATCGCAGCTTTTGAAGCAGCGAAAGAAGCAGTATAGCTCAGGTGTAAGAATTTTAACGGCCATATTCATAACTATTAGCCGGAATTGAATAAACTCTAAGCATGTAATTCTAATGGCATGATTTGTATGATGGAATGAAATTTCGTAGGAATGGAATGAATTGAAGAATGAAATGATTATGGGAATGGAATGAAACATGTTTTGTCATTGATGCGTTTGGTATGCAGAAGGAATATGACTGGAATGGAATGACATTATCATTTTTTATTATAAAAATAAATAGAAGTTTTATTTTAAAAAAAAAATACTTTTAATAAATTATATATAAATGCTTTTTTAATAATATATAAAAATAAAATAATATATTTTTAATAATATATTTTGAATAATATATAAAAATAGAATAATATATTGTTTAATAATATAAAAAATAATATATTTTTAATAATATATAAAAATAAAATAATATATTTTATTTTTTAATTAAACAGTAAATAAAAGTATGTTTTCAATTTTTTTATTTGAATTTTATTTTTTAAAATAATATATTTTTAATAATATTTAAAAATAAATTAATATATTTTTAATATTTTTCAATAATATATTTTTAAAAGTAATATATTTTTAATATTTAAAAAATAATATATTTTTAATAATATATATAAATAAAATAATATATTTTTAAATTATATATAAATGTTTTTTTAGTTTTATTTTTATATAAGTATTTAATATATCTAATTAAAATATAAATAAAAGTAAGTTTTCAATTTTTTTATTTGAATTTTTTTTAAAAAATAATTTTATTTAATATATTTTAATCATGATTTATAATATATATTATATATTTATTTTTTATTATTATTTATTAATTTTATTTTTTGAAAAGTTGATTCCTATACACATGGGAATGAGAAAACCTTCCATTTCCTATGGAATGGTTAATCCCATGAAGATGGGTTTTGCCATTCCTATTGGAATGGTCATTCCTTCCCAAAAAATATACCAATCATGGGATTAGGAATGAGTAAGGGAACGATCATTCCATTCCCATGTCATTCATTCCTACCAATCATGCCATAACAGTTCATAGATATGGATCTTTGCATTAATTAAATTACACATAGAACTTACAAGAATCCAGCTTATAGTCCTTCCCTATTTTCTTGATCTATGATGTTGATCTACGATCCTCTTTCTCGTAATCTTCAATGATGAGTTTGTCCTTGCCTTATGAATTGTTTCTCTCTCCCGCGCCTCTCGTCTTTCATAAAGGCCTTGATGTTGAGAACTTTATTTTCGTATGAGATGGGAGAGAGGGGCATGTAGTATATATATAGGAGGAGACCTACAATCCTAATCCTAATAACATTCTCCATGTTCTAACCTAACTTACTGTCCAAGTCAAACATCACAAATTGGACTCTTTAATATTAGAACATTAATAATCCATTAAATACATATTCACTTTAATTGAGTTTGACTATTAATTCAATTAGGTCCAACTAATTATATGGTCCACAATAATAGAATAATATAAATTATTATTACATTCTCCCACTTGGACCGTATAGTGTTGAAACCCAAAGAACTACTTTAAGCGCGCACATTTCATCAAACTTATGATTGAATACATATATCTATAAGTTTAAAATTAAAATAGAAATTAACCGAGTCATGGCGGTCACAAGTCTTCGAGCGACATGATCCCTTCCATGTACCACAAATCATTTCTAATTCAACTTTACTTTTAATATGGAACAAAATTTGTACCATAACTATAAGCTATCTACTTTTTATGTATATACTATAAAATAAATATCCATAATGATGATATTATATGTGAAAATCAAACATCTTTAATCGAATTGAATAAGTGTCAAAACCATCAATTGAGCAATTTCATTGTGTACCGGTCAGTCCAACAAGGCCCCATTCGGCATTTCCAATTTTCTTTATATGCCTTGCAAAGGTTATAGGGAATAACCCTTTAATGAATCCGCTTTCATGCAATTAGTGCTAAAATGCTCAAATGACACTTTATTTCTTCACTTATATTCTACGACCAAGTATTTCAATTTTATGTGATTCACACCCTTTGAATACTTGTCATTCCTTGAAATATTATTATTACAAAACCACAATAATTTCTTAGCGCCTTGGACAAAGTGTCGAAATTTCCAAGTCCTAAGATAAAGTTTTGTAGCCATAAATTTTGAATTGTGGCCTCAAAGCACACCACAAACTCAAACTTAGTCGTGGAAGTCGCGATGATGGACTCTGTTCCACTTCTCCATAATCTTGCTCCTTTAGACATTATGAGCAAAAGTCTGAATATAACAAATAATTTGGATCTTCTTTAAGTTAGCATGTGTTCTTTAATGCCTTGTAAACACTTTAAAAAATTTCTTTGCAGCATGTAAATAATCATTTAGGGATTACTTTTATATTTGCTTAACGTACCATCAACAATTATGTTAACAAACCTAGTACAAGTTCATTTCACTTAAGACTCCTAATCATTTATAATTAAGGAATTTCTTCCATCACTTTTCATTCCATTTCACCTTTCAGACATTTATTTTAGACTAAATGTACCCATTTTATGAATTAGAATTATTCTTATGGAACAACCATCCATTATCTATCAAATAAAACTTTTATGGGATAAACTTTTAGTCCTTGTGATCTATTCCAGAGTATTTCTATTCCAATTACCAAGAACGTTTCATCCATATCCTTTATTTCATAATTTTTTAGAGAGATAATACTTACTTCGTGCAACATATCCACATTATTAGCAACTATAAATGTCATGGACATACGAAATTAAAATAACAAATCTACTCCCACTGACCTTAATGTAGATACACCGATCTACGGTATTCTCTACAAAACCATAAGCAGTGATGGCATAATTAAACTTAAGATACCATTGACGAGAGACTTGTTTTAGTCCATATATCGATCTATTTAACTTACACAATAACGTTTCATTTCTTGTGATCTAAAAACTTTTAATTAGTTCATGTAGATCTCCTTCTAAGTTTATCATTTAGAAGGTGATCTTTATGTCCATTTGATAAAGCTCGAAATCATACAGAGCCACCATTACCATTACAATTCTCAAGGAATCTTTCTTGAAACGAAAGAGAATGTTTCCTTGTTGTCAATGCCTTCGTTTTGGGTGTAACCTTTAGACACAAGTCTAACTTTATATATATCGATATTACCTTCTCGTGTTTGGTTTCGAAAAACCAACTTACACCAAACTCTTTTAGACCCTTCAGGTAATTCAACTACATTGTAAACTTTATTACCATCCATTGACTTTAATTATTCTTTAATGGCATTGATCAACTTTTCAGAATTTACACTTTTCATGGCTTGTGATTCATCAATCAATGGTTGTTCTATAATTTCTTGATTGCTTGTGATGATTCATTATCAAGTGAGTTTGGATCATTTTGTTATTCATCTAAGTTACATGATGGTACTGTAACTAGAAGCATAACAACCATTGGTGGACTATCGGGTTTGGACTGTCCAACCCGAGTTTCTTTGTCATCCACACTTTGCGGTTTCAAACTCCCACTGATTTGATCATTTTTAATGAATCGAGCATTGTCGAAATCAACTATTCTCGTACTACAGTTAGGGCTATAAACTTATATCCCTTAAAACTTTTCGGATAGCCAATGAATAACCACTGACTGTACTAGGATCAAGTTTCTTTTCATGTGGATTATATACTTTTACTTCTGGTTGACCACCCCCAAATATGAAGATGCCTCAAACTAGGTTTCCAACCCTTCCATAGTTCATAATATTTTAGGAACTACTTTACTAGGAACCTGGTTTACCCAATATGCAACAATCTTTAATGCATGCACACAGAAAACATTAATGTTGAATTACTCAACATACACCTAACCATATTCTTTTAAGTACGATTTATCCTCTCAGCAACACCATTATGTTGAGGAGTCTCAATTATAGTGTATTTCACATAAATATTTTAAATCTCAACAAACATCACAAATGGACTAGGACATTATCTTCTTTTATTGAACTTACAATAATCTTCACCACTATAGTGAGATCTCACAACTTTTACTTATTTATCTAACTACCTCTCCATCTC